GATTCAGGGCAGAAATCCAAAAATATCGCACATGCCCATTCACCTGGTTGAAAGAAACATCCAAAACAAATTTGCAGGGTTCAAGAATTTCACAATGTGATCTTCTTTGGGATAGACTTCATAAAGTCTGTTGCACTTTCACGGTATGTCGCCAGTAAACCCCTGTTGGGCCCCATCTGAGGTGCATGTGCCGCTGCTCCCAAGAGGACCAGGCATGTCCGGAGGTCCAATGCAAAGTCACGCTGTACATCCGGCCAGATTGAATACCATTCATAGTTTTAGTGATGCTTCAGTTCCAGCAGACCTCTTGCAATTTCAGCCGTGGTTGGCCCTTCCAGCTATGACTACAAACAAGCTACTGTAAAAATTTAGGGGCTCAAGAGATCCAGCCTTGAAGGCAAAGTTCCAAGTAGCAGAACTGCTGTCCAGCCTGATTGCCATGGACAACCGGATCCACCATGAGCAAGATTTAGTGGGATTGATGTGGATCCTATCCAAGCTTGGGGCACCACGTGTATCTAAGCAAAGAATTATATTACCAACACCACCATGGCTGGCACAAACTAATTTTGGAGGAGACTGGAAACAAACCATTCTTGCTCTGCCAAGGCATTGCTTCGAATCCTCGTTCTGGTCTACTACACCAAGGGGCTCTTTGATTTGGAGGAGGCATGAGGTGAAAAGCTTCCCCATAGTCATACTGTCCTACATACTTGTTTTTTGAACCTGGGAAGGTACTCAAAATCCAATCAGATTTGTGGTGAGTATATAGTAAAGGCTGACCCCAAAGATGCCCCCAAAATGGCCATATCCTCTCATTACTGGGTGCCAGGAGTTTCAATGGCTGGAATTTTACGCCGGAAAGGGAAATTGCACCTTACAGATGAGACGGGCAGGGTATGTAAGTGGTCGCTTTGATATCCTCTACTGTGATAAGACGAAGCAGGGCAAACGGAAGTCGAACTGGCATGACCTGCAAACACCAGCCGGGTTTGTGTTACTTAGATTTACTTAGCAGGTTGTTGGTGATGTTGGTGGTCAAATTTATTCCTATTCATACAAAATATTACAAGATACTTTTGTGATGCTTATGGGTTGGCTACATAGGCTTTATACCGTTTCTTTTCTACTGCCCCCTGGCTGTCATTCTGAGGATGGCACTGGTGTTCATCATGAAGCAGCGAACGGCCGATTGCATCACCTGGTTTGGCATAAAATGCTCTTCCTTCACTGGTGTAAACCGGGGAACCAGCAAGCGTAGTGCCTGCAACAGTATCGGGGATACAAATGCACCTTCAGTGAACTACTCCAACGGGTTACTGGAGAGGACAGCCCACGGGTACCACTATGTAACACCACTGCAACCAAATCAATTCCCAATGTCCGAGTAATCATGAGGAACCCTTTTCAAGAAAATACATTCCGATACTTTTCCTGTTATTTTGAACGGTTTTGTTTAAAGAACCCTGCACGCAGGACTATTCTTCTGATCATGCTGGTCGCAGCAAAATTTGGAGTATGGGTATTAGAACAACCTGGAACATCGGTCCTTGAGTTTTACCCAGCCTTTCTCCACCTCATGCACTGTCACTACCAACTGTTTGGCGATTTCGGAGCCGAAACCCCAGTTTGTTCATAGTTGTGTTTGCAGTATGTGTTGCAACCGGGATGTCTCAAATTTCCATTTGTTTTGCTTCAAAGAAAATGGTATTGACCCTATATATTTTAATGGGTGGCATATGGCCCCAAAATTTGAGAGACACACCTCCCACATACCCACCCAAAAAAACAATTCATCTTGCCTCTCGCCAGGTGAATCGAATTGCCTGGTGGATGTCTATGTATGGTGCAAAAACACCGAAAAGGCAGTACGCATGGTCGAATTCTACTGGCATCCGCCGGTTGGATGTGGGGTGGCGCCGGATGAGGGCACAGGTGCAAACTGTTAGGCACTACTTTAATTCAGAAGGTCGCCGATGTTGGCATGGCACACGTCACCTACGTGAGACCCAGAACTTTGGTTCAATTCAGTCATGGAAGTTTGATAAAATTTGTATATTTTCATATTCTTTCAATCTTATCATATCTTATCAACTTTTCATTGTATGACATTTATTATGAGGAGATCCCGAAACATAACCATGGCTTCAGGTATCTGGTTAATTGGTTAATCAACGGTTATTATATAATCAGTATGGGCAGGGTTAATTTTAACCTTTTTGGGTTCCGGTTGCAGTTGCCTACTTTGGCAGGACTTATCCGGTCCCTTTTGCCCAGCGCATTGTGAACATCCGAGAGCATCTAATTAATGGTCGCCCCATGGAGCCTTTGTGGCCTTCTCCGTGCCCGACAGGCCCCGAAATCTTGGCCTCTACTCCAGAAGATGTGGACGGCCTTTTTCAAACGGCGGACCTCAGCGCTGTTTACAATTACCTTCGGGGTGGGAAAGGACTAGAACTTCCTCCTCACTGGCATCTAGCCATGCCACATGAGGCACCATAGGTGCCGACAAAACACCATAGGAGGTTTTAGCTGAAATATTCGACCACAATTGGTTCAGAACGGGGAAAAAAGCAGGTTTTTCATAAAAAAACCCATAAAAACCCATAAACAAGCCATCAAAAACCCATAAAAACCCATAAAAATACCGTGGAAAACCCACAAATTGGGAAAACCTGGTTTTTGGGAACCCGTAATCATCCCGTAAAAAACCCATAATTTCCCATAAAAAACCCATAAAAACCCATAATGAAAAAGTGGGTTTTGGGGACCTCTCGGAAGCTAGCCTCCTGTGCATAATCTGGCACAAATTTCGATGGTAAATGGAGCTAATCTGGCTCGATTTAGAACAATTTGCACGTGGCTTGATCCTGCGTGAAAAAAATGTCGTGTGGCTGGACATAGCCGAATCAAGCACGTGCAATAGCCTTTCTTGGTGCATGGGGCTTGCTACAAGATCAGATCTTTGATACTTTTTTTCCACCGCAGGATTCATTTCGGGTCCACTGGCCTATTGGTGAATCTTCCTGTCCTTTAGGCCTTTAGGTGTAGGACATGTCGAAGATGTGGTCATGTGAGACCTTGAAGGTAGGGTTCGAGGATGTCATGCATGAAGCCCTGGTGCATGACGAGGGAGTCCTGCTTACTGAGATTGAGGACCCCAACATGCTGATTACACATTATACCCCAAGTTAAATCAAGTTAAATCATATATATCATCATCACTTGTTCAGTATATCATGTATGGTTTTGATTTCCATACACCGCCCTTGCAGGACCTTGAGAAGGAGCTGCTGCAGATCGAGGCCGTGACTGCGACCGGACTGACTGGGAAAATTGCCAGGGTCTCGGTGGCCATTCCTGCTATTGCAAGTGTTCGCACGATGTACCCTTTCTTAGGATGTATCCTTTCTTAGGATGGCTTTGCGATTTGCTTGATGACTTCAACCCTTTGTACAATATATTTTGTTGGTTGGTGGAACAATGACTTCATGTCATTCGCCAAGGCTAAGTTCAGCCTGTCCCCCACTTCTGCAACCAGCTCTCCTCCTTCTACAACCGCCCCTACTTCTGATTCCGGTGGTAATGATGAAAACAAGGACTACTGACCTTGCCATTGAAAACTCTTCAGTTGTGGCAAGAAAGAAGAAAACACGTTCTAATCAACCCTCTTCCGGGGCAGCTTTGCAGGACAGTTCCTCTCCAGCAGCTTCGGAGGATCGACCACCGCTTGCACCTGAGGTGGGCATCAGCGATGCTGCCACAGATGCAGAGCCAGAGTTACCAGGGTTGCCTGATGATGCCTCCCCACAAAAACAAGCAGAAGGAGATCCATACTTTGGGGCTGAGGCTTCTAGTTTGCAATGGTTTATTCGAAAAGTGTGAGGATACACATGGAATCAACTTCACGTCATATTTTGAAATATTTTGAAATTATGCAATCATATGTCTATAGCCTAAGGAAGTCAAGGTCGTTGATGACCTTGCGGTTTCACTTGCACTTGCCTTTGGGCCTGACATTCCAGTGAAAGAAGAACCAGAAGATTCGGAAGGTGCCACCAGGGATGGCAACAACATGACACCTGAGACGCCACCGGCTCCTAGTGGCACCAAGATCACCAAGCCGAAACGTGTTCTCACTCGCCGGGATGCTCTGCTGAACATCTCAAACATAAAAGTCATACGCATGCCCTGCGCAATCCAAAATATATGTTATATGGTAAAGCTTCATAATCCATTCTTTCAATTGAGAGGTTTCCCAACTTGTGATTTTTGCAATGTGGGAGCCATGGGTGTTCAACCATAATTAGATAGGACCCCTTTGGAGGAAATATGCTGCTCACAATTTCTCTGAAATCCACCCTGTATGTTTTTTCCCGTAGCCCTAGCTTCGCCTAAGGAGCTGCTTCGCAATGCTGCAAAGGCTCGTATCGCAAGGATGGTTGCTAGCAAAAGGAAGAGGACTGATCTTCAAGTACCAGCATGGGTGCGGGAGCAGTGGGAGAAAGGAACTTCGGAAAAAGAAGAAATGGCATTGTGCCTACAGCAGGTAAACTGGGACAAGGCCAGGTTCTGAAAGAATTCCCATGTCAAAAACATGAAATCACAACTCCTTTACATAAGTCATTGTGCCAATGTGTTCCTGTGTTGGAGGGCTGATGTCGGGTTTGTGTCTTGTGCTGTTACTGTGAGTTGCTTTACCGTAATGTATAGTAGTGTAGGATTGTTTTAATGTTGTGCTGTGGGTATTGTTGATGGCGATGGTTTTGCTCTTGATGGACATGTTGGTTTAGCGGTGGAGGATTCTTTTGTTTCTGTTTTGGTGAGAAAGAATGTTCAATACTTGTTGCCACCCTTCCACCTCTCCCCATTATTCACCTCTTTATATTTTTGCCCTTGTCCTGACTCAGACAAAATTCATTGATCTCATGGAGAAGATCGTGACGAACAAGAACTCCACTCGCTTGACCAAGGACGAGGGATGGTACTCTGAAGGGGAGATGAAAAGCGAACTGAATTGGAGCCAGTACATCTCTTAGATTTTGAATGCCTTAACAATCAATCTGATCCCACTTTCCTTATCATCCCTTGTGTTGTGATCTAGTGTTCAAATTCCCTAGGCAGAGAATCAGTGGAGCAAAGGCCTTTTGCCAAGACAAGGAGGGCTACACCAGGCTGGGGCACCAAACCGCTCCATGCGTCCTCCCTTTTCCATCTGCCTGGAAACCGTTGGCAGCGGAAATGCCAGGAGAAATCTCTACGACAAAGTCTTGGAGTTTTGGGTTACAGTGCGTGAGAGGGGAAGCAGGGAGCAGCTGCGAGAAGAGGAGACCCGGACCACTTCCTCCTCCAAGGCCCTAAGATGTCCTAACACAGTTGAATATGCCAAAGGTGGTGCATGCATGGGAGTTACCCTCCTAATCCTACTTGTTCTGAAGATTTCTGAAGGCATCATTCCCATTCCCAAACAACGGTCAGTCCCATTCCCAAACAACGGTCAGCTTGGAGGCTGACGCGCCTGTGGAGATTGATGGCAAGGCATTCGATGATGTCAAAGCCTACGAAGCTCGCACGGCAGCCCTTCCCCCTGCTGAGAAAGGTGTTGAGGATGATCCAACGTTGCCACAGGCATGCCAGCTATCATGGTTTGAGTGTGAAATGATTTTGCTGGCATCCATGCTTTACAGTTTTATGTGTCAGCTTTGAATGTGATTTCAACTCATTTTTTTATTCATTCCTACCATGTTGCTCCGTCAGAACCAGAACAGAGAGCACCTCAGAAAGTTTATGGAGTCCATCTTGAAAAGTGTGACCAAAATGAAGATGTTGAAGCGTGACATCACCGGAAACTATACTGCTGCCTCTGGTGATCAGCCAGGGTCTTAAATCTGTGAAATGACATTGGTTGGCCAGCTTATTCCAGTTCTGAGTGGATTCTCTCCTAGGATAAAATCATATCTCATCCCCTAGGTCTCTGAAGTTGCTGAACGACCACATCAGCAAATTGGAGAAGGAATATGATACGCTGCAGGAAGAGGTCGCCAAAGGAGAGACTTCCAACTTTGGCAGCGGGTCTGTGGCTTAATTTTACATGGGTCACTCAAGACATGAAAATTTCACAGTTTCATGGTGCCGAATGACAGCTGATACCGCTGTCAATTTGTCAAGGTGGTGGGCTGGTGCGCAGGCAAAAATGAAGACTGCTACTTTTGTGCCAGGGGCTAAAGTGTTACAAGAGTACCCAAGTTGCTCAACACCATCCTGGCCCAACCCATCACATACCGTTTCAGGTGTAGCCGAGCCTCTGCGACCGAAGTGAAGGTCCGGCATCAACCTCAGCACATGGCAAGCGCAGCCTCTTAAAATGGCCCAACAAAATTTATATTCATTGAAAAGAAAACACATCAAAAATGCCAAGGAAGGACAAACCCTTCATGGAGAAGCTGGATGAGGGGGAGAACAAGCCCAAGCCGAACAAACGGCGGCCCAGCACCAAGCGTAGCACAGAGTCAGATGCAAAGCCGGACACCAATGCTGAACCGAGCACCCGCAAACGCCCCAAGACTGCTAAGAGGAAGTAGTTTCACCATAGGGCCCTCTCTAGATGCGATGACTCATTGAATGCCAGGTTGCTATGATATATTGTCATCGATGATTAAAATATGATGTACAGTTTTTACAGTAACATGTAATCTAATATTATAATTTTGTTTCCAGTCTTTGTATCACTCGGCAGCACCTTGCTGAGACCAGGGCTTCTATAGCCCATGTCTCACGGAGTTGCGACCTGGAAGAAAATCTTGACATATCTTGACATTCACTCGCCCATACTCATATATATGATATACTCACATGACTTGGTACTTTTTTTGATGGTCGCTTTGAGGGCTTCCAGTGCATCCTGTGTGGCTGCATTTTTGCTTTTGCCACGCTGTTGAAAATTCAATCCGATACCTATCGGAGATCATCAGATTCCAACGGTCTTTGATTTGAAAAACCCTTCGATGCAGATGGGGCTGCGTTGAGGGCAGGCAGACAAGTCCGGAGTTGAAGTGGATAAAAAACAAAGTGATTAGCTGCCACTGCCATGCATGCAATCTGATTGACAATGTTTCCAAAAGAAACCAAACCCTTGACAATACCACCTGCCCCCAAAATTCCAAAAGTTGTATGATCTTAAGACTTGCAACTGCCAGGTGCAGGGCCAGGCCTGCGACGCTTCGTTCAAGAGGTCGGCGATGGAGTTCTAACCTCAGCAGTGACACATTGTCAGAATTCAAGTAGTTGTGATTCCTTTGATTTGGAAATTATGTGGTTATACAGATCGAGTTATACATGTATACTACTTTGATAGGTGTTGCTTACATGAAGTTGCTATCACTCGTTCCTTTATCTCCCTTTTAGAATGTACTACGCTTTGATCCTAGGTACCTTGCTCTGTGGCGATTAGAAGTGCACGAGCTGTGATTGAGGAGGTCCCAGAAGCTGCAGCTTCCACCATAGCTTCTTTAGGCCGATGTGACGAAAGAAACCCCGAACGTGATGTTCACCGTGTTGCTCATCACTACAAGCTGTCTATTCCCATTCCTTTGACTGACATCAGAGTTGGGGACCACAAAATTCCAGTCTTGATGATGAGTGATTGGGCCCGATACATCTTAAGGATGAATTTGTGGCATCGCCTATGTGGCCTCAGAGACCCAGATCCTGAAAGATGTACTGCAATTTGGACTACGTTTTGGGAAAGATTCAGAACAATTCAGCCCAATCATCCTGTTTTCAGAAGACGGGACATTCCGCTGGGGAATACCTGTGCATTACTGTTACATGGAGACGAGGGTCGATCACAGAAAAAGAGTCCAATCTTGTGTGTTTCCACACATAGTGTGCTGGGCTACGGTTTGTCCACCTCAAAAGTTGACAAGACAGACTACTTGGCTATGAATTTGAATTACGAAGAGCCAACCTGGACTACAAGGTTCTTACTGAGTGTAGCACCAAAACACCTCTATGAGGATGATGATGGTGAAGACATCGATGCTTTTCAGGATCTCTTACGTGGTGTGTCCATGGATTTGAAGGTTCTGTGGGAGGAGGGGATTAGTGATGCCAACAGAAATGAACGATTCTTCTTCGTTGTTCTCTACATCATGGGGGACTGGCCGTGGCACATTAAGGCCGGCTGCATGAGCCGGTCGTTCCACAATGCAGCCAAGAGGCAAAGCTCACGGGCGGAGCCTCGTGGCATCTGTCACCTCTGCATGGCTGATACGAGAGGATATCCTTGGGAGGATTGGCAATGTGATGATCCAAAGTGGGTGGAAACAATCAACACTGTCAGTCCCTTTTATCGGGTACCAGCAGTACTTGAAGAACTTCCCCATGATGATTCGGCTCAACCCGATTTTTTCCCCTACGATTTATTCCATGGATGGCACATCGGAGCTGGAAAGTCGTTTTTGTCATCAGCTATCGTAGCTTTGGCATCTTCAAATTTGTATGATGGGTCAAAGGAAGCCCGGTTGGAAGCTGTGTCATTGGCTTATGGGGCATGGTGCCGTACCAATCGATACAATCCAACCCTGAAACGGTTTACTTTGCAAAACGTGGGGTGGGTGGGAAACACCTATCCTGCTGGAACTTGGTCCAAAGGGGCCACAACAACAGCCATCACCAAGTGGTTTGTCGCGGAATGCGCAGGTCGCATAAACGAAGTTTTGGAAGATCCTATCCTTTCTGTTGTTTACAGCGCTGCACGTTGTATTGACAAGTTTCTGACAGGTGTTTACAGCTTTGAACTGTGGATACCAGCGTCTGATGCCTTGCCCTTGGCCGCCAATGGCTTTGGCTTTCTAAAGCATTTTGGACGTGCTGTGAGGATTTGCCATGACCAGTCTCGACTTTTGTTTTTGCAAATGCCAAATTACCATAGGTTGCATCACATTTTTCACAGAATGCGTGAACAGGGGCGAAAAGGTCCTTTTGTGCTGAATCCATTATTGGTTTCAACACAATCTGATGAAGATTTCATCGGGCGGCCCAGCCGCATTAGCCGGCGGGTAAATGCCCGGACTATTGTCCAAAGGACATTGCAAAGGGCACTCTTAGCCGCGTACGCAAAGTATGTGGAGAATGGCATAATTATCCCAGAGCCAAGGCGTTGATATTATATTACCACTATCCTCCAATCGATGCTGTAAAAACAATATGTAAGACCCAAAGCAATCAAGAGTCTAGTTGATGATAGAAGAATTCTAGATATCTCTGCTTTAAAAGATTCTAGATATCCCTGCTTTCACATTTCATCACAGACCACGCTTGGACTGGGCAACCCGGCTGCATTGGGATGGACATGTGCTCCAGGTTGAGAACAAAAAGGCTTGCAACGGTGCTGGTTCAAATCAAGATGCATTCACAACATTGACAATCACCATCAAGATCCCAAAACCGGGTTTTGGGTTTGGAAACCTGGTTTTTTGCAAGATCCCTCAAATTTGAAGGAAACGGTTGGTCTAGGTATATATATAAATATTTACACAATACATATCTAATTAGATATCATGAGTACGAGAGAACAATATCCCCAGATCTAAACATGCTTGCACCACCGAACCGAACTTCAACCATTTTGTTCGGGGTCCCCAAAAAAATAGAAAAGTAAAATCCAACCAAAATAGTGGTAAATTATATCCTTTTCTGGGGTATTATATATAGTTATATATATATATACATACTGTGTTGATATACATATACTGTACATATTATATACTGTATGTAGATATATACACATACATACATATTATGTATATATATATACATACATATGTATGTATGTATGTATATATATATATATAAATATAGATGTAAATATGTATATATATATATATATTTATACCCAAACTGTGATTGTTCTGCACATCCTGCCTGGGATGCAGCCCATCCCTTTTCAAAAATCCAGCAACGAGGCTACTTCACCAACGATTGCATCGGTTTTTCCTACGAGCCGGTGTCGAAAGATTGCGTTCTGGCGCAGGCGATAAATCGGAGTAAATCGGAGCACGAAAGGAACCAGCCTCTGGTTATTTGTTACATAGCCATGGTATAGATGGCCCATAGAAATAAATGGTTTACCGAACTTTAAAACGGTGATTTTCCAGTTCCCTTTGTTAAATAACCAGATGGTAAAGGTTTAAATCCGGGGGTTTCTGTCGGACGACCCAGATTTGTTTAGCACTGGCGATATTTGCCAACATTTCCAACTGGAATGGGGATCTACGGTAGCTAACTTGGTTGATTTCACTGGTTTAAGAATCGGTTCTATGGTAGATACCCTCTGGTAATGACTAACATAGCGAACTGGAAAATCACAACTTCTATATAATAGATAAATCAACTATTTCACTGGGCCATTTTCCATAGTTATGTTAGTTTACCAGAGGGTATGTCGAACATCATTGAACTGCTTGATGGAAGCTTTTAAACCAAGAAACATTTCACTGGGAGGCACCACATCCCAGTGTGAAAACCCCAATGCTGTAGCTCCTTGATAAAGCCTATCGAAGCACATTCAACACTTTCCACATTATGGTTTTATAATGTTATATATATATATATCATGTATCCCCCATTACTCCCCTGTTTCACAAGCCAAATCATACGTTAGGAACATCATTTGCCATCTGCACTTACAGCGCACCTTGTTGTTCGGAACGCCCCATCATTTCCGTTTCGCGACACCCAGAAATGATCAACAAAAAACACTGGTTAATGGAAGAATCAATGAATAAGGATTCTACATGTTTGAAAGTGGACATGAAGTATACCCACAAAAGTTTACATTGCAGTCCAATATTTATGAAATACATGATGATCAAATATTTTTTATTTGCTTTTCTGAAGATGTTCAAACAAACCTAAAATCATTCATGGTTAACTTGGAATTCAAGGTCGGCCAAGCCACTGAGCAATGTTGCAACCTTACTGGCCGACATCGAGTTATGATAGTGAGGAAGACTCTCCAAACGGCCAAACTTTTCATACTTATGTGCATTTTTGTTGTTTTTTTTGGATTATTGTGCATTATTGTGCATTATTGGGGACTATTGGGGATTATTGTGGGTTGCGGACTTTTCATCAAAGACTCTCTATGTGAATTAATGTGGCTGAATTGTAATAACTTTTAGGAATGTGATATATAATTATCTACCATCAGTCACATGTGGATTATTACAGATCTATCACATATGGAGGTTTCCTAAAATGGGGGTACCCCTAAATCATCCATTTAGAATTAATTTTCCATTCTAAACCATCCAAAATTGGGTACCTCCATTCATGAAAACCTTCATATAAGCCAGCCAGATACTTGTCGGCGCATCTTTAGACGAACGATGTTAGATGCATGGCTGGACCCTGCGCTGATAGAGGGGTCAATGCAATTGCAAGACAACGATGATACGGATGTGTGTGTGTGTGACAATAGGGTTTCTCATGCCTCGAAAGGACTTATTTTTATGGAGAACATGATTAAGTATACGTATGATTATTTTGATACCTCATTAGTATATATGGTATTATGATATGGTATAATACCTTAGTGGGTCTAGAGGTACCGTATTTTAATACAACCCCATATTTCGCTTGTACATAGTCGAGTCGAGTTGGACGTCAATGTCCATGATTACTGACAAAAGACCCTCGTGTGCAATCGATATCCCCATCATGACCCCAACACTGAGACTTCAAGATCAATTGGGTACTGTATGTACCTACTGCATGTTGTTTAGTCAGATGGCTGTTTGTGGGTGTGTATGCTACATATGTATGGACCTTTTTTCTCTTGCAGTGCTGCATAGAACAGGTAGTGTTGGTGATATCTCCATTGTAGCATTCCTCAACCCTACTTCGTGGCTCATCCCACTTATTATTTAAGTAGGTTATATCCCTGGTTATAAGTGGGATAAGTAGGGTTGATCCACTTACTGGGCTTTGAAGCCACCAAGTACCGTGCACTTCAGGAGGAGGTTCGACAACTGGAACAGATTCCTGGCAATCAGACCTTATTCTACTGGCGCCAGGCTCGGAATTCGATGATTTTCATTGATTTTCACGATCCCCGACTGGATGGGTAGTTTACCCTCTGGTAATTTGTTACGGTCTGCGACATTGAACATGGCCCACTTAGAAATCGTTGATTTACCCATTAAAACTGGTGATTTTCCAGTTCGCTATGTAAACGTTTACCACAGTGTGATTCTTGATGTTTTTGGGGCGACGACCATGGAACATCACCCCAGCCTTTCGGATGACATGAAATTACTGGACTATCAAAGAATGACCATGATACATTCTGGGTCATGACCCCTATTAAATCAACCACGATTTTGGGGAATAGTAGCCAGTATTGGGGAATACGAACCTTACTGTATGTATATAACATTATATAACCATATAGAAATCAATATATTGATAATATCCCCATTATATATATATATGTATCTGTATATATGTATATAATAACAATTTATATAGAATGATGTCGGGTAATATTTGGACGATGAGAATCCCATCTCATGGGTCAAATGGCCAAGTCATTGGGTACCCCAGTGAAAATGGATGGTTTTTATATGTTGTTATAGATGTTCATACTAAACATAGACTAGAACCTGTGGTTTTTTGGTTTCATCATGGATAAAAAACCATGGTTTTAGAACAAATTACCATCATGGAACTAAAACCATATGGTATAATCTCAGGTTTCAAAAATTGTGCATCATTTTTGTTGCCCCATCCCCAGATGACGCGGATATTTGGCTTCAACTTCTGCCTGTTACTCCGAACTGTGCTGGATCCAGTAGTATTGAAACTGCGACGAACTGGGCAGTTACCGGATTCACAACTGCTTTGGAATGCTTGGATGTGGATCCCAGTTGCTACGTCCTATGTGTATGCCTTAATTATGCCCCAGTGATGGTTAGTAGGGTCATTTACAACTTCAATGTGGTAAAGAAAACTCCGTATGTTTCCCATAGTCGATGTTGTTTGATGTTGTAGTTGTCCCATGTTTCACACATATACTTATAATTATTATATATACATGATATACATGATATTATTACATTATAGTACAGTATCATTATGTTGTAGTTATTATATATTAAGGCTAGGGTTGGCTAACTGTTCTATACCTTTTTTCATGAACCACAGCTGCAACATGTCAATCAAGACGATCACCTCCCAGCAAAATTCAATGTTTTGGTGAATGTGATTTTAGTGCTTGGTGAATCTATATTCTATGTGTATCTATTTATTGTGGTTATAGTGGTTATAGTGGTTGGATAGTGGTTGGTTTATTTTATTTATTGTTTTAGTGGTTGGTTAAGCAAATCCGACAAAGACCAGTGACCAGATTCGAAAAACCGGACCGTTGTGTCGTGGTGTCCTGTGGTCGCGCAGTCCATGTTGGAACAGTTGAACCTCTCTCAGCTCAATCCCTCAGTGAGTGGACAGGCGAGCCGAGACGAAGTTGTGAAAGCCTAGTAGTTACTATACAGGATTACTATACATAGTTTGTTTGCCATATTAACCATAGTTATATCATATCCAATGGTCAGTACTATGGTTAATATATGGGTAATACTGTTTCTTAGTACCATTGGATAGTACTATACAATACTATACATCTATACCATCTGGTTGGTGGTTGACCTACCCCTCTGAAAAATGATGGAGTGAGTTCGTCAGCTGGGATGATTTTCCATTCCCAATATCTGGAAAAATATTTTCCAAGTCACCTGGACTCATGGTAGTTACCCTCTGGTTATTTAACATAGCCATGGAAAATGGCCCATTTATAGATGGTTTACCTATTGAAAATGTTGATTTTCCATGACTATGTTAAAAACCAGATGGTAGGTGATTGATGGTGATTCATAGGATACTTATCAATCATTAATAGGATGATTACCTAACAATTATAGTGATAATGGTGGTTTATAATGATTGATGTGATATTAGCCTACGGTTATGGCTCAACTAACACTTATAAATGGAATGAACTAACTAACTCTTATATAACTATCTATAACTAGTTGGTTATATATATATATATATCATGAAATAAACCCATACAAATAATGTGGGTAAAACAATGTCATAAACTATCCCCCAGTCATCACCTTTTTTATAGGTGGTATAATCAATTCCCAAATGGGTGGTTTATGGCATTGTTTTACCCACATTACTACTTGTTTTAACTTGCGGATTTATGTAACATGTACATAGAAGATCATAGAACAAATGTACAAGATTATCCAATATATATATATAAATATATATATATACATATCCGTCCATATTATAAGAGATTATAGAAGCCAAACATACAATGTGAGGCCCCCAAGATAGCTAAGTTGGTTTATAACTCCAATAACTATGGTTTATTGTACTTATAACGAAATAGTTACTGGGGCTTTTATCTAAACCAACGTTCACATCACAACTGGGGGCCACACTTTGTAACATATTAATAATGGTATTGTTCAATAAGTAATACCAGTAAGTTTAATGGTTTATTAAAACATTATTAATAATGGTATTGTTCCACTTATTAATAGTGTTGTAGGGGGATGGTCCACATTTATAATATGGTTTATGTTCCACTTATGTATAAGTTATTTAGCAAATATAAACTACCACATTGGAAACACTATGTAAACAACTATCATTGGGAAAATATTTAAAATAGTATAAGAAATACTTCATTGGGCATTATAATAGTATAAATTATAAATACCATTCTTCCACTTCTTCATCGTAGTTTTGTTCTGTGGCAATAATGGATCATGTTTACTGAAGTATAATGTACCACAATGGACATTCCCACTAAACATATTCACAACATTGTTCCACTTATTGATCGTAATTTATATTAATTTATGTTGTTTTTTTTATCGGGTAATATGGAAAATATATCATGGGATGATACTGGGATATAAATGGATTCATGACCCAGTGTCAACAAACGTAGTAGTGGAAAATCCACCATTTATCAATGATTGCCCACGCTAGAAACCTATTTTTAGGGGGTTATTGCCGGAGGCTATTCCACTTGTGTTTTTGGAAGGGAATCTGGCAGAGTGACTTGCCTTACAAGGCAGGACAAATACCCTCTGGTTATGTCAAAATGGCTATGGAACATGGCCATCAAAATAGTGAGTTTTCCCATTAAAAATGTTGATTTTCCATAGTTATGTTAAATTAGCGGAGGGTACTACAATGAGATGCCCCCCCAGTTATAAGTTAGTCTTCAGTAACTATAGCTGGTTGGTGGTTTAGAACATATTTTTCCTGGTTCATCTATGGTTAATCTACGGTTAATAATTGGAATAACAATATATCTGGTTGGTGGTTTGGAACCATGGAATTTTATGACTTTCCATTCAGTTGTGAATGTCATCATCCCAGCTGAGGAAGTCATTTTTTCAGAGGGGTTGGTCAACCACCAACCAGATAGATATATATATCTACGCTTAGCCAAAGTTGTAAACCCAACTTACCTAACTATGGGGCACTTTCAAGGATCATGTCGGCCATTCTTAGGCATTGTAGGTTGCCAGTTCTGTGCGATCAAGTGAGTAGATTAAGCGCACACGCATACACACACACATCCTAAACAGTTCTGTCTTTACACAGGTGATTAGACCTCAATAGTGAACATGACACACTCCCCCTCTCCCTCCCTCTCCCTCCCTCCCTCTCTCTCCCTCTCTCTCCCTCTCTCTCCCTCTCTCTCCCTCTCTCTCTCTCTCTATGTCCATCTGCTAATATGAGTCAAATGATACGACTCTGCAAGATATGATTTATATACAAACAGGATTTGACAGGACATATATTCTACACCCGAAAGCATCATAATTAGTCTGTAAAACGAGGTAGGAACACCCTGTTAATTGTGTTTTGTACCAAATAACTTCCGCAGCTCCTATATCGTGTATCTGTAACATATGTCCCAATGCCTACTAGCTACATCTTTATGTTTAATGAACGCCCTAAATGACTCTGCAATGCTTATATATACTTCATACATTGCTACATATATATATATACATATATATATATATATCGTTTATACACATATATGTTTAGATGATATATAAGTTGAGAGCGTTTCATGGTATGTTTTCTTGGCTTCTTGTGCGCTGACAATTGGAGAATATGGTTTTCAAAGTTTTCACCTATTTCATACCCTCCATCTATATATAAACATATAAACTGTAGAGGATACATCGATTATCTATAATTTTTCTATAACTTATCTATAAACTATCTACAAATTATCTATCTAGTTTATCTAGAGTTTATCATTCGAAAAGGACGTGGCAATATAGGTATGGATCAAAATTTAAGCCCCAGAAGGGACCACAGATGGCTTAATGTATGTTTAGTTTGAACCATACCCATATATATATATATGTATATGTATATATATATAATATACATATGTATATATATATATATATCATATTGCGAATATAATCTGAATATGCAGAATCCACTCAATGCTCGCGGTACAGGAGGCTGTGTGAATCTCGGTGTGTTTGAAGCAAGTGCTTGCTTTGTTTCCAATTCTCACAGGTTGAATCGTGTCACAAGATGTAAAATACCGAATTATTTTAACCCCTACTGAAACAAAGGACATAAAACATACGAAAACCAAGGACATATGGACATAAAACATACTAAACACATACTAAAACCATATGGTTTCCATCCTCCACCATAAAGCATTGTAAATTGGCCAATGTTGCCGAAGATTTCAAGTTGCTTTTACGCCACCCCGCAGTTTCCGGTGACGAGCTTCGGTCTGGAGTACGTCCGGGATCTCGGACCCCTAAAAAATGTGGCCCTTTTGACCATTTTTGACCCATCCCAACTTTGGATTTTTTGGGTTTGTCTGAAAATATGGTCAAAACCATATGTAGTATCATGATTTTCCCATATTTTCCTATTTAAAGTGGCATTTGGAGGATATACACTTAATATACACCATTTTCAGACACAACCAATATGGGATATTCATTGTGTCATTCAAACCTGTGAAGATATGGGCATCGTTGTTTTGGAATGGTGGCATTTAGATCAAACGGAACTATATATGATACTGTGGCTGGAAGAAATCCTGCACCTGTTGTAGATGGTTTATCCCACTATAATCCCATTATTTACAGTGTTTCATAGTTACCAATAGTTACAAACTGGTGCAGGATTTCTTCCTACAGTATGTTGCACAGGCTCCTTGTAGCTTCCACATGGCATAGGCCCACGTACGCGGCGTAGGTACCCACGGTTAGTGTAGAGGATCGAAGGCACCAAATGAAACATTAATTACTTGGATACCTTGAATGCATACGCATATATTGACATTATGAATGTAATTCCAAAATATGGTTATGTTCATCATTATTGTATAGACTGATATACCATCATATGATCCTCTTATACTATTGGGGAATATACTGACTGGCCTAGGTACTTGACATGAGGCCCCATACTGTAGATATTTTTGGAGTACATGCTAGTACAGTAATCAAATATTCCATACATCTGGATAAATTTGATCACGACCTGACCTCACATCGCGACGTCATTGGATTGATGGGAGTTGTAAGTGGGATCATCCCCAAAATGGACTTTATCTCAGGTTGCTGAATTATTATACCTCACATTATGCGGATGATTCCACTAACTAACCTGAGATAAAGTCTATTTTATATTCCATTGAATTCCATTAATTAGCTAATTAGCTATAATTATGCTAGCGATATAGTTATATCTCGATTTATTCACATGATGTGGCTATAATCGACTATACCCTCTGGTTATTCACAGCTATGGAAGCCATGGCCCATTTATAGATGATAGATAAACATGATGATTTGCCTATGAACAAATGTGATTTTCCAGTTCGTTACATGAGTCACAATCATGAATAATCATGAATAATCATTAATCATCAGTAGTAACCCATATCATTATATATCATCTCATGATTTGCCTATGAAAACATGGGGAGTTTGCCGACCGTCGCCTTCTCCGTTCAGGGCGCATGCTTCGTTCCGACGCCTTGTGCCGGAGACACCAGCTGTACCCAGGCGCCTGCCCGGAAGAGACCCATCAAAAGAAGAGTGTTGGTTAGAGATCCAGAACTAGTTAAGGCCCAAACAACCGTTATTTGTTTTTATGGATTTATTTCATGATGATAGATAGATAGATATATATACATATATATATAACCAACTAGTTGCCACAGTCGCTGCAGGGCGCCTGGGTGTTTTCGTGTTTTTTGTTGTTACGTTCACCTACACATGTTGCGTTGATGATGTTCAGGGCTGGGGTGGGGTGGGGTGGGGTGGGATGTTAACGTTCATGTACAGATACAGATACATGTTAACAATTCACAGAAGTTGGCAGCCATGAGCAAATTCTTTCATGGCTAGAAGCAGTTTTTGGAAAGAGAAAAAAAGGGTCTGCAGAGCTCGATGCGGAGACCCTCAAAAGCACACGCGCCTCTCAGCGCCGTTCCCAACGAGTTATAGGAGTGATTTCATTCCATTAACTGTTACCCTCCAGTAAACTAACATAGCTATGGAAAATGGACCACTTATAGGTGTTTTATCTATTCCAATAGTGATTTTCTATAGCTATGTAAACGTTTACTAGATGGTAATTGGGCCATCGCTGCGGAAACCTGAGGATGTTTGTCCAGATCATTTGATTGCGAATCCATATGATGGCCCAAGAAATCTGTTTTGGAAAAGTTTGTAGATGTTGTAGCAGCCTCCTATTGGACAGAAAAGTTGGAAACCGTTTCCAACGGTGACGTAAATGTACAATAATGTACATATGTACATATAGATACATCATTCCCAACATCCTGGAAAACAAAACTATAATCCATTTGTTGGTATCACTGGGGAGAACATCAAAGGACCCATGAGGTGAGACCATATGGGCTGGTAAGATAGCTAAGTTGATGGGTTTATTTCATTGGGTCAACGATTGGGTTATGTATATCTATATCTATATATATACATATATAGGTAGAATTATTTGGATATATTGAACTCATATCATGGGGTGAAACTAAACCAACTTCAGCAAATTTTTCTGGCTCAATGGCCATGATTCAGCCTAAGAGTTCCAAGAAAAAGCCTATGGAGTTCCATTAAACAGTATCCTTAAATTATGCTTACCCAATTAAACAGCCGTTTGGGGCTTATTAATTCAGGGTTGACATTAAGTATTATATAATATTATATCCTTCTTGGTGCTTTGGAACATGGCTTTTATTTTCCATTTCATATATGCGAATGTCATCATCCCAACTGACGAACTCCATCATTTTTCAAGATGGTAGGTATACCACCAACCAGTATCCATCAGTATCCTTAAATTATGCTTACCCTCTAATCAACCGTGGCACCCGGATATGTCCCCATTGAGTTCGATATGGCACCGATAGTTCGTTCCCTTGGCCTTGGTACCAGCGCGTTGGCAAGGCTTCGAACACTGGCCTTTTCTGTGCACAGTGCAGTGCAGGTGACGAGCCCGGGATTAACAAAAACGTTGAGTTCGATGATTTTCGCATGAAAAAAAGTCCATTTGTTGCAGGATTCCAGGATTTCCCAGCCATTTAGCCGAAAAAAATCCGAAAAGACTTGGATGGCGATTGAGGCGGTTTCGGGCCTCGAGTGAGCGAGCTGGATTTGAACAGAGCTATGGAAAATGCTCCATGTATAGATGATTCATGATGATTTCTGATGATTTATGATGATTTCTGATGATTTATGATGATTTCTGATGATCGTTACGTACCCAGAGGGTAATTGTCACATGGACATTGAACAGGTGCTGAATCAACTTTTGACATGTTTATTCTGCTAACCTCCGTTTTTCCCTGAAAATGTGTGTGTGTGTGTGTGTTTTTTGCACAGATTTTCATGGATTTTCTGAGATCATGGTGGATATATGTGTAGTATTTAGATGGTTAACACAAAGCCACTTATGCAACGGATGTTTTAACATGTTGATGGTTGCTATTAAAACAAAGTAATACATATATATATATATATACATACCATTATATATCATATCCATCATAAACCAGTACTAACAGAAAAATAAGCACCATGGACATAATGTACATATGCAAGATCAACCTTCACCTTGTGGTTTCGTGCGGATCCCTAGTTCTCTGCAGCCTGAAACGAGGCTATTCCTTCGATTCGCTCTTCCCAGCCTCGCGTTTGGAGTGCCCAGAAGCTTCGGCCAGCAGTCCACCAGTACATGGCAAAAATATCAAAAATCACCGCCCAAAAACGGAATCATAGGAGGCTTCCCCCAAATTCCCAAGGTTTGGTGCAGAACAAAAAATATACCCTCTGGTAAACGTTTACACAAAACTATGGAAAATCACAATTTTTCATGGAACAACTCACTATTTTGATGGTCATTTTCAATAGCTATGTTAAATTACCGGAGGGTAAGTAATGAGCCAACATACATCACTTCCGCACCCTAGCCAGATTCGTGGCTGAGGTATGTGCACCAAGTGCCCCAACGTAGTGCTGATGTTGGGGAAACCCAGAGATGAAAATGACTTGCTGACGGTCGACCTCATCGGAAGCCATGTGGATCATTGCAAAGATCGTCTATTTCCAGTGTGGCAACTCATATTAATCAATTATCCATAACTATCCCATTTATAGTTATTCGACTATATCAATCATATCTCATGGAAACTCCGTGACTGTTTGGTGGTTTGGAACATTTCTTATTTTTCCATATATTGGGAATAACCCCAACTGGCTAATATTTTTCAGAGGGGTTGAAACCAAGGGCATTCCGGCTCAAAACTAGGGATTGCCCTTAGCGGGACGTTGTTGTCACCCCGCGGGTCTTGCCATAGCGACGGGCTTGGCATCCTGACCTTTCCCACGTTTGTAACGTGGTGGACATCGCACTTGTCACTGTCATTCAATTGACTGACAACCTTCAACAACAATCTATTTTTTGGTCCTGGTTCTTGCTTCAATACAGCGGCATTGATTTTATCTGTTGCTTATCATTGGTAGCGGCATTGGGGTCCAATTAATATCTTGGAATTTCTGTTTTTGCTGAGGGGGTGAGCTCCCCAATTTCCTGACTGGCTCAACCTGGTTCTGCGGTGACCTTACACCGGATACAATTACTGGTATTGGTTACAAATTTTGTGGAATTTTTCTGGTTTATGAGCGTCAGATTTTTGTTGCTCTGGATCGTGCTGAGACAACACAGCATCACCTCTTCCTGTGAATCAGAATTTTTGGTCTACAACGACTCCGACACAAAGGAGAGCACACAGAAGAGCCCGAGCGAAAGCGCGCAAGTTCCTGCACCTGATCAAGCGAAGGCAACTCACTGCCTCCCACATCAAGGTCTGGAAAGCACTACACTGCTTGGGCAGCCATCACTCACGGGACGCTGGACACATCAGCAATTTTGTATCTACAATGACAGAAGCCTCTCAGGCATGGAGATGCGCCACATGCATGAAAATTTGTGCAAGATCTCACCAATTTTGCGGAGTTTGTGGGGTTTCATGGCATCTATGTGCAGATCCGACCTTCCAGGCAGGAAATCGGGTCGCCAAGGAGCAGCGCCAAGTGCAGTGGAGTTATGCTGCCGACTGGAACGATGCAGAGTGGAATGGTCAATTCTGGCCGGAGGAGCACCAGGACAATGCAAAATGGACGGCAGCCCCAAGACGTCGACAGACGCCCAGGAGAAGGCCGTCAAGAAAAGCAAAGAAGCAAGATGTGCAAACACCTGCAACCCACAAAGGAAAGGGAAAAGGTGCGAACCTGGACACAGAAGGTTTTGGACCTCCGACTCTCCCGCAGAATGTCACAGAGCCACCCTGGCTTACAGCTATGAATACCTTAGCGACAGCAGCACCGCCTCCCTCACAGGCCGCGCCAGAGGATCGACAGCTGAGAACCATACTGGCAGCTCTCAAAAAGCACAACGATGTGTTACCACCGGAATTGCAAAACATGGTCAACGATGCAGCCATCAAGGAAGGGCAGCAGCAGACAAAACAATTGCATGCAGTGGTAACAGCTCATGGAAAGGCACGCAAGGAATTGCAGCAAGCACAACTGGCGAGATACAATTTACACAATGCATGGAGGTCCTTTCTCAGCCAAGTGGTGACGCAATGGCAGGGCTACAGCGCTCAATTCATGGAGCAAGAGAAGCAAATGAACGAGCGAGTCACTGCAGCTCAAACCGCACTGGAACAGGCGAAGGAAAACCTGGCCACAGCCAAAGCGTCAGCAGGCATCGAGTCAAAGGACGACACCATGAATGTGAGCGACGAGGAGCAGGACAAGGATCTCACAGGAACGGCATCCCATTGCATACAAGAAGGCCTGACCAGCTTGCAAACAAATCTGGAAGCGCTGCAACAATCAGCAACACAGATGTTGGAAGACGAGCAAAAGGCCCTCAAGAGACCAAGAATCGAAGAAAAGCCAGACCATGGTACCAAGCCATCCGAACCCTCTGCTACAGTGCCGGGGTTTGGTTAGGCCGAGTAAATACTATCCCGGAAAGTATTGCTCCATGGCCTATGCAACATGACCCATGTGTGCATCCATGCATCCTCAAGTGGACACACAGCGTTCTTGAGGAGCCCAGTTTTGTTTCAGAGTGGAATGCAGTTGACATAGCTTTTCACCTTGCATGGGAACTCAACATGCAAACCAGGATTCCTGTTCTGTCTCAACCAGTGTACAGAAACCGATCTGCTCAGCCGAGGGTTTCACAGGTCACCTTTGCAGATGCAGTAAGCATTAGAATTGGCCGCTTTGATTGTGACGAAGTTCACGATTATGTAGTCTCCACTAGTGCACTGCGACATGCTCAGAAACCATGGTCATTGTATGGCACGGATGTAACCTGTGTCCATCAGTTCCCCACAAGTCCAAGACACAGGTCCAGTACATCGCGGCACACTAACCATGATGAAAGCCTGCATGTGTCGTTGGCTCAAACCCCAAACATTGATGCCCAAGAAACACCACAAGAAACAGCTTCACAGGCTCTGATTTTGTCTGACGCAAGCACCTGGAAATCAGCAATGCCAATAGAGCCTGCAACACTGAATGCTTGTATCCAGAGACCTGATGCCACCCCGCTGAAGCGCAGTTTTGATCAGCATGTCGTGAGTAGACACGTTTCACCCAGGTTCTCCCTTGCCACTACTGCCTTAGCATCCGATGCATCCGATGCATTCGATCCAATTTGCCGCAGTTGGACACCCTCGAAGCAGCACCAATTGCGTTCTCAGCCACTGAGAAAATACTGCCAATTAGGACAGATGTCTCAGCAGGATGGTACTGTGGAAAATTTTTCAATGCTTGACCTCCGAAGCCACCGTCCATATTGCATTTTGCAGTCACAGGTCAAGACAGGAAACAGTTTGGCTCAACCTGAAGTGGACTCACCCAGCATGGCCGACCACCGATCACCTGTATTTGCTCACATGCACACCAATGGACACACTGCACATCCACCCAGGTCCCAACGTGAGACTTACTTAAATGGTGATTCATGTGTTGTCAGTACATGCATTGACCAAACCAGGCTCGAACATGAAAGCCCAATCATTCATCTAACTGGCTCAAACCAAGCAGGGGATGCCACAGATGATGAAAACATGGAAGAACATGACCAACCGATTTTGCCCGCATTTGTCAATCATTTGACCAACAGGCTTGAGGCACTTGGACTAAATCCCCATGACAATGACTTTGATCTTCCAGTAAGAACTTGGTACATTGATCACCGCACCATCCATCGCTGGACGGCCCCCAGGCTGCTGCAACTTGTTGGACCACCACGTGGATGGGAAGCACAGATTCAATCCATCTGGGTTGATCAAATCAACACAGAGGACTGGTTTGATGTCATCATCATTGAACCTGACCCACCAAGGCAGGCTCAGCATGCATTCGTAGTGTATGATATGGTGGTAACTCAGTCCCTCGACATGCCAAGATATGCTTCGATGGTCACTGTCCTTCCGAGTCGAGCCAACACATTCTCAATGTTTTCGGTTGCATGCTCCTTACCGGAAATGGTCAGTGGCTATGACCTTGTACAGGCTGCAGACGCAGGTCGCAACTGCAGGCATGCTGAATGCTTGATCACATACCGCTGGATGCAAATACCCAACACACTCAGACCCACCCACAGAATGGGTCACGGAGATGGTTTTCAAATTGCTGTCCATCATGATCAGCATCAGGATGTAAGTAGCAGGCATGATGACACCAGCTCATCTGACCTCACTGCAAGCCCTAGGTACTCCCCAGGCAGACCTGAACCATCCGCATCCAGCCATCAACCGAATAGGTTCACCACAACGCTGCACTTGTTTCAATTTCAAGGAATCGAAATTTGTCATGAACTTGTCAATGGTCAGCGTATCCAACCAACACAAGAAATTGCAGATGCGCTGCAGATTCCGTTTGATTGCTTGGAAGCCATACATGTCATGCCTAACTCCCCCTATCAAGTGCCAGACTATGAGATTGCCGCAGTAGTCCAACGCACAGGAGATCTCGCCATCCGCACAACTGACAGGCTGTTGCTAGTCGATATCCTTTACCACCACCATCCCACCAGTGAAGGTATCTCACATAGGCCCACGCTGGTAAGAGAAGTGCACAGGGTAGGACATCAGATTTTGCGACAGCACATCATGTTAGCGGCAGCGGTTCATCACTACTGCATCATCATCTCCAATGAATGTACAGTCACGCTTGACAATCAGCCTTGGCCTGAGGACGACCTTCATCCGAGAGCGGTCCGCCATGGATCCTATGCGCTGGTAGTGGTACCTCCACCGAACACACACGATGTTCCAACACAGCAAGCTGTGCAAGTCGTCCAACAAATGGTCGATGATGACAGAATCATGCATGACCTTTTCGGGATCCAGGAACAGGACCAAGATGAGGACAGCAACGATGAGACCATGCTTACACAACTTGCGTCCAGCTTCCGACACAGCACCTACCAGGTACTAAAGCTGCCCCGAAGCATTGGTAATGATGATGTCATCAAGCGACCACAGATAAGCCATGCGAATTGCCCAGCCACCTGTAGCCCAGAAGTGGGAGCGGTACTGCAGACAAAGTCTGACCTGAACCCCCACAAGCACTCGTCTAGTTGGGATCCTACAACTGCCTCTGAGGTTGCCCAGGATGAGCACGAGGCCAAGCCAGACAAGCTTTCCGGACCTGACCACAGTGGTCACAGTCACACCAAAGCTGATCACCAAATGTTGGCAACACAGGACCACATCCCTAAAGGTCCGAGGGAAACTCATGCACCCCCAAAAACTTGTACAGTTGCATCCACTCGCAGGGGTCATCAGAACTCCACAGAAAAACTTTCGCACCAGAAAAAGATCTCCGATTTCTTTCAACAGCGTGTGAAACCGATTGCCAAGAATGACTCTGCCGCGCAGACGACCATTCCTCATTTCTTTCAACCCAAGAAGAAGCTGCACCACCAGGATCAGTCCGAGGAGCAGGATCATCCTAATGCTCAGCCCCGTCATGCAAGTGTTGAAATACAGAAGATGAGTACAGGCAATCTCGAAAAAGCAGTGGATCAAGGCCCACAGCATGCCCTTGAGGCACGTGCCGCCCCATACCACAATGCTGAACCTCCAAGTTTTGTCACCAGCAATCCAAATGCACCAGTTCAGGGACAGGGACAGAATGCACAACGACCTCGGCCACTTTGGCACATTGAGGTCAATGGGCTCTTCCTTGACCACGCAGAGGTAAGACATCCAGAGACAGGCCCAGAACTGGCAGTAGAAGTCTGGTTTGTCCATCACACGAGAATGCCAATATGTAGAGCTCCAAGATTGATCAGGCTTGACAACATCCATGAGTTGTGGTATGCTGATCTCTGCAATGCATGGTTTGACCAAATCCAAAGGCACCAACCGTTGCGTGTACATATAGTCAAACCACCACCGCCATACCAAATGCGGCAGCAGGCCATGGTTCACATCATCCTTGAGCAAGGCATGGTTCCAAATAGAGTTGCCGTTCTTTTTACTGCTGCTTTCCATGGGGGCACCAGGACAGGCATTTTGCAACAGGCCGAATCATCACCCGACCAGATCTCCACAGAACAGATGATCCAAGATCATGCCCTGCAGCAGCAATGTGTTTTCCGGCCTTGTCATCTCTTCTCTGGGCGCTTTCGTTTTGACTAAAGCACCTTGGAGCGAGTCCCATCAGGAATCAGTGTCCTGCTTGATGTTGGTGACCATCGTGCAACAAACCCCAGTCGAGGCTCAGGAGACGCCATTCTTGCCAATGAACCTCCACCTGACGCTGTCAGCGACCAGGACGATGACAGTCAGCCCAGTGAGGACACCCTAGCACTCATGCAGAGACCCAAGTTCAAGACCTTTCCCAAAACCAAAGCTCCCTCGCATGCTGTTACTGGACAAGGTTCAGCCACAGACTCACCAGGCCCGATTGCGTGGTTTCATGTGCATCGTGCCCTCCCTGCCAGTGGAGCGAACCAGCATCAGCCCATCCAGCGCATGGTCATCCAGGCCAGGAACCTTGATGAGTTCCACCAGATGCTGCAATGGCAAACTCAGCGTGCCAATGAAGCCTGCCTGATGCCGTCAAGCCGTAGTACCAAAATTGAGTCATGGTTCTCTGACCCCACAATCCTGCCGAGAAGTGACCACTCAAGGGAAGTGACCATGTCCACAAGCCCAACACAATGGCCCGTGGACGTTTTGCAACGATGGGCCGATTTCATTCAACCAGGTACACCCGTCTACCTGTTTGTTGTTCAGCCAGACCCACCAGGGGGTCAACCAGATATTATCGCACATGTCATCGTAGCCCAAAACCCACCTGCTGACCGTTTTGCAGCAATTGTTTCGGTCACAGAGCTCCTAGATGACCCTTGGCATCCGACCAGGTTTTGTGCCTTGCTGCCCAACCCGGTTTCGCGCAACGAACTGTTTGATTTGGCAGGCATCCCACCTGATCAAGTAGCAGCAACCCCAGGAATCGGTGCTTACCATGGCAATGCCCCTATACCAGAAGGGAGTGCCTACCCAGTCAGACATGGTTTTGCCTTTGAAGTCATCACCGATACGCTGGAGTTTGAGCCAGATGCCACCACACTCTGGCAGCATACCATGCAAGCTGATGGTCAGGTGCTGGTGACACCAAACATCAGAAGGTTGGTAGGGCAAGCAGCCCAACGGACTTCCAACCCAATGCATGACGACGGCATTGTCAGCCAACAAAAAGCCAAAACACCACGGCATGGGTTGGCACATCAACCCACATCGAATGAAGCCCCGCCGTACCAGGATGATGACGTAGCCGAATACTTGAGTTTTGTACAGCTTTCGTTTCAGTCCATCCATGGCGACATGATGCGCATACACGATGGCACCAGTGCGCCGCTCAGACCGGTATCGCACCATGAAGACACCTGGGACATGATCACATGCACAGAAAGCTTCACTACCAATCGGCACAACGCCCAAGAAACCAAGATCCAAAGTGAAGATGGGACGATGATGATAGGCCCAGACATCATCCATCGATGGCACCACCTAGCGGCCTTAAGACCACCGGCAGTTTCCATGATGGCACCCATAATCACTTGGATGATTGATCATGAACGCTTTCCTCAATGCTTCCAGCCGAGAGAAGTCTTCATCAACCTCAACCCCAATGCTTGGCAGGACACCATCAAACGTGCATGGAATGACTTGCTGCTCCCGAACCAACCAGTAGAAATAACGCTGGTTCAGCCACACCCACTTTACATGGAAGCTCATGCAGTTGCGCACGTATTGATCACCCAACAGCAACACCCGGGCTTCACATCAGTTCTGCTTACCACGCTGGATAGTTCCATGCCACACTCCCACAGACGGCATGCCACTATGGTTCCAGCAGAACTCAGGCGTGACACCCTGCTTGCACTGGCCTTTATTGCCCGAGACTGCAATCATCCAAACAATGAGTGTGACACTTGGATAGGTGATGTCGAAATTGATCCAATACTCCCATATCCAGTTACGCTTGGCCAGTCGTGCACAGCTGCAATTCACAGGCACCACAGACCCGAACCACAGGACCCAGACCCATGGGAGGCCAATGTCCCTCTCAACAAGGAGTTCCGAGTCCAGCTATACCTGCAGGCATCCATCCCAGCACAAGCCGACACACTGCCTGTTGATGCCACATCGGAAGAACCTCAGTTGTTATGGTTTGCCAACGAAGCTTGGAAACTAGCTCTAGAAGCTGAAGAACCATGCACGCTCTTGCCACTACCTGAAGGGCTCCATGTGCCAGACCCGTCCTACTGGGCTCTCCTACAGCCACCACCTTGCCATGAACAAGGAGAGGTCAACTACACCCTCTACTTGGATGGGGCTGCCAATGGCACAGATGCAGGATGGAGTGTGGTCGTAGTAGCCAACACGCAAACCACTGAGCACTTCCTGGGATGTGCCTACGGCACAGTCCAACTCAGTTCCGTGCAGCCAGACTGGGTAGGGGCAGAAACAGCAGACAACATCTCTGCGGAGCTATCAGCCATGCTTTTTGGGCAGAACATGATCATGCGCTGGCAGGAAAACACCAAAGCATGCATACGCCCTGACTTGTCACTCAGCAGAACGGTAGCAACAGCTGTTACCACATGTAGGTCCAACAAGCTCTTAGCACAACTGTGCTGTGCCCTGGGCCTTTGGTTGAGCAAGCAGGTCACAATCCAAGAAGTAAGGGGTCACCAGGGACATGCATGGAATGAACTGGCCGATGCCGTAGCCAAGTGGGCAATGCAACAGCACAGCAATCCACTTCACGATAGCTTCGCCCAGCTTCACCAATTGGCCTCTAACCCCCATGACGTCAACTGGACCTGGATGCAAACTACCCATTCTGCAGTTGCCGCATGTTTTCCGCCCTTGCTTCAACAGCAAGTGATGCAGTTCACTAAGCCAACATGCAAGCTGGGCGTGCTGCCCACGGAAAGGCTCCAACCAGCTGACACAGTTGAAGGATCCCCATGGCAAATCCAAATGTGTACTGCCAATGTTCTTGCCACCGAAACCTGGTCCACACAACAGGCAGGCACCAAAAGAACTGGCCAGCGCACCCTGCGCCTAGATGCACAATGGCACAACGCCAAGGTCCACATCATCGGCATACAAGAAGCCCGAACCGCCCAGGGTAGGTTTCATGCACCGCATTACCATATTATGGCCTCCGGTGCCAAGCATAAAAGAGCACCGTTATACGGTTGCGAATTATGGGTCCACAAAACCCTCCCAGTTTCCACCGACAAGGGAGGACGACCAGTGGTCCTAGGAAAAGCGGTATTTACAGTACAGCATGCCGATCCACGACGGCTCCTGGTTGAAGCCAAGCTCGGACGCGCAACCTATGCTTTCATTGTACTGCATGCCCCAAGCCTGGCCACTCCGAGCCAAGAGCACCCAAATCCTGCTCACGACGTGACACAATGGTGGAATGACACCAGTGCCTTGTACACCCAACACGTCACAGCCAAGGACCAATGGGTGTTCCTTGATGCAAATGCACCCCTTCCCCAAGGGGATGGGGACCTTGTCGGACCCCACGGGGCCGAAGCCAGCAACAAGGCGAGTGAACTCCTGATGGAATTCATCGAGCAGCACCAACTAGTGGTCCCGTCGACCTTCCCCCAGCTCCATCGAGGGCCCACTGCAACGTGGACACACAGCACGGGGAAAAAAAGCAGAAAGGATTATGTGATGGTATCCCGATCAGTACATCCACTGGCTACCAAAAGCTGGGTCGACGTCAAGCATGACACGACATTTGCCCACGAAGATCATCTCCCAGTATTCCTCCAATGTCAGGGATGGTTGGAGGCATCAACAACTAAGCCACCGACCTGCTGGGATGACCAAGCCATGCTGGACCCCCACAGGCTACAAGCCTTCCAGTCAGCCTTGCATACGCTGCCACTCCCGACCTGGAACACCCAAGTTGATGACCATGCGGCCATTTTTGAAAGGCAGTTGCTCACTCTTGGCCAACAGTTTTTTGCCAAACAGCCCGGAAAACAAAGACTGATTCAGCTAACTCAAAGTACCAAGGACGCCATTGCTTTCAAGAGGCACATCCTGGACTATGGACGCCAGCAACGATGCATGCATCATGAGGACTTCAAGATTGAACTCCGTCTCCTGGAGAAAGAAGTTGCAAAGAGGGTCAACCAGGATATACAGCTATTCTACACTGACCTCCTTACCCAACTGCAGTCATCAGGGGAGATCTCCAACCAGAAGTTGGTGTACAAGCTCCTGCACCGACTAGGCCGCAAGAGAGGGGCCGGGGCAGGCGGCCCAAGACCATTGCCAATGCTCCAAAAGCCTGATGGCACAATGGCGCAGTCCTATCTCGAACAACAACACACCTGGATGAAGCAGTTCTCCCACATCGAAGCCGGCATCGAGCGAACATGGGAAGAAATGACCAGGCAGCATGAAGCCCACCAAGCAAGCCCCCAGTGCACAGATCTAGAGCCAGCTGCCTTTCCAAATGCATGGCAAGTACAGCAGCTCATCTCACGCCTGAAAAGAGACAAAGTGCCGGGCCCCAACCAGCTGCCGCCTGGCCTCTTCAAAGCAGGAGGCAGTGTGATAGCCAAACACCTGACAGTCCTCTTTACCAAGGTTGCTGCAGGATCCACTGAACCAATGCACTGGAAAGGGGGTGTCCTTATCCCGCTGTGGAAGGGGAAACTGCCACCCCATGTGGCAAGCGGCTATCGAAGCATATTCCTCTCGAACTACACTACCAAGTTAAAGCACCAAACTTTTAGGGCCCATTTGGTTGATGCCTGGGAAAGTAGTTTGATGCACCTCCAATGTGGTGGCCGCAAAGGAGTGGGCGCTGACGTAGCCCACCACATCGTACAATGCCACCAATCCTGGTGTAAACAGAAAGCAGTCCCGTCAGCCGCCCTGTTCTTCGACTTGAAGTCGGCTTTTTACATGGTCCTGCGACAAAGCTTCACCAGTCTCCCGTCGCACGATGTGGCATTCATGGAGGCTATGCAACGCTTTGGACTCACACCCAGTGAAATACACCAGTTGGTTGCCACAGCAAACGAGGATAATGCCACGCCCGGCCTGGCCATCCACTTGAAGCATGTCTTGCGTGACCTGATGCAAAACACATACTTCACTGTTGCTGGCATCATCAACCCATGCCAGACCACAAGAGGGACTCGCCCAGGAGATCCAGTCGCAGACATCCTCTTCAACCTCTGTATGTGCAGGATACTGAAAGATTTCCGACAGGAGGTGGAAGCCAGCTCCACTCTCCCTTGGTTAGGTGACGCCACTCCTATCAATGACTTGGAGCAAATCCCATCCATGCCACCAGAAGGGTTTGTCGATGTTACTTTTGTTGATGACTGCGTGGTCATGCTTCACGCCCGCAGCAACGACCGCGTTGCCCACGCCATCCAATTGCTAGTGACAGCGCTCGACAAAGCATCGACACAGCGAGGCCTCAGCATCAATTTTGAACAAGGCAAGACGGAGGTCCTGTGGACGATAATTGGCAAAGGAGCACGTGAACAGAAGCGTAGGCTCCATGAAGATGGGCAGCTCATTCAATGGCTGGCAGACGGCAAAGCCTATACCCTGCACGTATGTCATGCGTACAAACACTTGGGAACCTGGGTCCAAGCACATCACAGGCACGCCAAAGAGGCCCTTGCCAGGGCTGCTGCTGCAAAACAGCAATGGGGGCAGTTAGCACGTTCATTCTTTACCAAAAAAGCTATCACAATCCCGGTTAAGAGTGCTGTGTTTCAAAGCCTTGTTGTCTCAAAGATGACGTACAATGTACATACCTGGACATCAGTCACCCAAAAGCAGCTTGACTCATGGGTAAACCACCTCAAAGCTCCAGCAGGAACACTGCTCAAGGGATTATTGATGCCTGCTACCAGGTACCAACACACCACCGACGAGATGATGGCGTTTGCCGGACTCCTCCCCCTACAGGACCAGGTGCATGCCAACCGGTTGAGGTTCCTGGCCAGACTGCTGCAAGCCTGCCCAAAAATCACCTGGACTTTGCTCCATGCCACCCAACATCAACATTCCTGGCTTGAGCGATGCCTGGAATCGTGCCGGTGGCTCCTCATGCACTATGACCGTCGCTTGCCACTCACCGAGAACTCGCAGTTCCTAGATTGGGTCCGCTTTGTCAGACTTGACCCCAACTGGAAAGGACGCATCAAAAAGACCTGCAAGCTTGCGCTGTCCTTTCACCGGTCCAGAGCAGAGCACGCTATATGGCAACGCCACTTCAACGCCAGGCTCACACAAGCGGGAGCCACACTGCCAGACAAAGCCAAGCCAACAGCCATCCAAGACCGTTGGCAATGCGATTTGTGTCAAAAGGTCTTTGCATCCACGAGAGCACTGGCCATGCACGCCACCAGAGAACACGGCTATAAAAAGAAAGTTCGCTACTATGCCACAGGTGACACCTGCCAGGCTTGTTGCCAAAACTTCCACACTCGCAAGCGCCTCTCGGTCCACCTGGAAAAGCAAGCTAGGTGCTACAACATCGTCACCAGCTGCTGGCCACCGCTCCCGGCCACACAGGTCCAAGCATTGGACGATGAAGATAGAACCCATGAATCCCAGCTGCGCAAACAGGGATGGTGGGCGGCCAAAGCCTTCCAACCCGTGGTGACGGTGCCTGGACCGCCGCTCCCACCAGAAGGCAAGCCCAGAGGCACAACTGATGTTTGATCGCATGCAACTGCGCCGGCCCAGCGATGTAGTGGCATACACACAGCTTCAGGGCACCAAACTCACACAGATCCCCGATGGCCCAAAGAAGCTGTGGTGGACAAACGATGATTTGCCCGCCTTCATCATGCATTCTGTCCAAGGGCCGGACGCAGCAGGGGGCGCCTTTGCCATGTGGGGCTTGGCCCGTGAAACCGCTGCCCTGCACATCCGTGCGTTAGTTGTGGTGCACTTCTTCAGCGGGTACCGCCGCATGGGCGACATCCATCATGTCGTTGACCACTACACGGCTGAAAGTGGCTCTCACATTTTCACGCTGTCAGTAGACCTCTGCATGCAGCGACAAAGTGGTGACCTAGCCACCCCCAAGGCAAGCAAGTGGTGGAAGGAACGCATCCTCAGTGGACAGGTTGTCGCGGCTGGCGGGGGGCCCCCATGTGAAACGTTCACAGTAGCCCGCCAGTTTGACGGCGGACCCCGCCCATTAAGAAGTGCACAGCAGCCCCACGGCCTGCCTGGCCTCACCAACAGGGAATGGTGCCAGCTCCGCATCAGCGACAGGCTGCTCAGGTTCTTGTTAGATATGCTGGTCACCCTTGCCATGATGGGCCTCAGCGGCTTTCTCGAGCATCCGCAGTTTCCAACGTGGTGCAACCGTGGCCATCCGGCCAGTATATGGGCGATGGAAGCCCTGAAACACCTGAAGCGCCTCAATTGCTTCTCCGTTGTGAGCTTTGATCAGTGCGTGGTTGGCGCTGTTGCCAAAAAACCAACGACATTGCTCCTCTTGCGCATGCCGGACGTGCGCGAACAGCTGATGAAGCGAGGACACTGGGGCCGTTGCAATCACCCAGCCGGGTCCCACTCCGCCCTTATTGGGCGTCAACAGGATGGCACGTTCAACACTGCGAAAGCGAAAGTGTATCCATACGGGCTCAACAGCATCCTGGGGATTGGGCTGTTCAAAGCAGCGGAAAGATGGGTGTCGGTGGCAACAGACAAACAGTTGCCGGCCGAGCTCACACCCTACCTCGAGCAAAGTTGCCACGACGAAAGCGTCGTACAACCAGACTATCATGGCGGAAAGGGCTAAAAGCCCCACAAGTGCACGCAGCGACCCAAGCACCAATACGGTGCAGCAGAGCAAATGGAAAAAAAAAAATGGGGTTGAAACCACCAACCAGATGAAAACTTGTCCCCATGTCATGTGAATCATGGTCGCTTCTTAAATGGTCGTTCAATGGGCGCGGCGGCATGGTCCCGAAGGAATTTCGGGACCATTGATGGCTCTTTGAGCCCATGAAATCTGTTGATTTCCTTGGTTTTTTCTGTGTTTAGAGGTTTACCAATGGTTAAATCCAGCAGCAAGTTATAGCTCATGCTAAGACCCACAATGTTGATTCAGGATTACCCTCTGGTACTTTAACATAGCTAATTATTGAAAATGACCATTTATAGTGAGTTTTCCCATCAAAAAAATGGTGATTTTCCATATTTATGTTAGTTTACCAGAGGGTAATTATACACTCACGTTTATCATTCATCAGCACAAAAAGCGCAGAAAGTCCCGATGATGGCACCGATCACAGGATGCTTAGAGGGCATGTCCTCATGAGGCACGATAAAAGCAAACAAGAGTCCTAAGATATGTTTCTTTTTTTGGGGAGGGTTTGACTTGAAATAGTGAACTGGTGGTCAACTGGTTCTCGTTCTCAGGCCCAAGGTAATTAGATATGTTTGATACTGTCTGATGACCATTGCCACCATAGAAACTGCCACGTAAAGGTTGATCAATGGATTTGAGTCCTGGCATGACCAGGATTTGAGTCTGAAAACGGTTCAACCTTTGGAATAGCCGGTTTCTACCCTTCGGTAGTGAAACATGGCAATCGAAAATACGTGAAATGCATGGGTTTTCATGGGAAAATCATGGAACTAAATGGGGGATTTCCCAACAAGACGTGTTTGATTTACTGGTAAATCATGATAAATCCATGGTAAATCCCTATATTTCATATGATTTAAGACCATGTAAATCCTGATTTTCTGCCAATTTCTGGTCACATCCACCCCACCAGCGCTCAGGCAAGTCCGGATCGTGGCCCGGGGGCCCGGAAAATCGGCCGTGGCGCCAAAGGTGATGTTTATTGGTTTAGAACCCACCTTATAGACCATTCAACCTATATAAAACTATATAAATGGACCCCCCCTTATATGATATAATATAGTATATATATATTGATTTATATTTTTTATTGGTAATGCTATATAGTTATACCTACCATTCAAACCATAGAATTCACCTAGTTATCTACCAACTTACTTGTAGCGATCGTTTCGGGGGCCCCACTTTGTTGAAATGGTGGGTTTTCCCTCCACATCTATGGCAATGTTTACACGAGGGTATGTGGATTATCAATGTTGTTTCAAGATCATGTTTTATAATCTATTTATATATGGATTTATGATTCATTATGATTTATAAATTTATTCCATATTGAATTTAATGTATATGGATTCAAAGCAGATAAATGTAGATTAAACCTTGGAAAAAGACGCTTCAGCCATGTTTAACCCAGAGAAACAAATGGATTTCCCATCTTACCAAGCCAAGAAAGGAATGATTTGGGTATGGATCATTTTTTTTGTGGCTCGTTCAGTGATTCATCGTAGAGATGAACCAACCTCAGCTAGATCTCACCATGTTTCGTAGGAATGATCCCCAAAGAGGTTTACCGCCTGGTCATTCGTCAACAGTTTGCTACGAAAAATGGACGAACATGGCCAGTTTAGTTCGATGATTTACCTATTAAAAATCGTCATGTTCAATATTAAAGTACCAGATATTACCAGAGGGTATGTCCAGTTTAGTTTGTGTTGGCAATTCACACATATCTTTGGAAGCGCCCAAGCAACAGGTTTATTTTCAGCGTTTCTTCACTAGGTTGACTTGAGTTTGATCAGCGAGCTGATTCCACTTTCTATCATTTTGGGACTGGCAGGTTGCAGGAACTCTGCACTGGACAAGGATCATGTAGCACTGAAGTATGCCTTCGATTCAGGATTACATAAATGGTGTTTTTTACAAGATGGATCATGCCGTCTCCGGCTATGAAGATCTATGAAGTACCCTCTAGTAATTTGTTACATAGCGATTGAAAATTGCCATAGAAATAGTTGATTTACCCAGCTATGAAATGGTGATTTTCCAGTTCGCTATGTAACAAATTACCAGAGGGTATCTCCCAGTAAATTCCATAAGATCCTGTTAATTCCTATGAAGTCACCATAAAATCCCATAAAATCTCATGAAGTCACCAGAGGGTATAAGTTCTCCGGTGAACTTCACAAGGTCAGCAGGCCCATGAACAACTCCATCACCAGGTTCATGGTCAAAGCAACAGTTTCAATGGTTACCCTCTGGTAAATTAACATAGACCCTGAAACTGACAAATTTATAGTGGAAACTAGTCTTTCAACCCCTATTTGGCAGGGTCTATGTTAATTTACTGGAGGGTAAATCCCATGAAAAACCCAGCATTTTTAATGCTTAAAGCACCAATCAAATTTCACTACGCCTGCTTAAAAAAAGCAGGTTTGCGAGTAAGGAATCTGTATAGGGATGTAAGGTTTTTCAACGGCGGAATCCAAGTTTGAGAGACTCATATTATTTTGATAATTTTGATAGATGCGCAAGATTTAGATTCAGATACATATATACCATATATGCTTTTCAGAATTTGATGGATCAGCTTACAGCCAAGGCTACATACAACGTGAGGCCCCCCAGTTATAAGTTGGTTTAGATTCGCCCCAGTAACTAGTTCGTTATAAGTACCATAAACCATAGTTATTGGAGTTATGTGCACCAACTTAGCTATCGAACGGGGGCCTCACATTGTAGAAGACATTTCTTGTATCCATCCAAAATCCTTCCTATTACAGGCCTAAGCGAAGCGTCAACATGGAGCAAGCATACTTGGAGGATCGTTTGATCGTGTTTGTGGTTAATTACTAAGCCTGGCGTAAGTCCCCGATTCCAACGGCGATTCCACTTCTAAGTGGGTGGTGCCCCAGTTCGGAATTGCTAAGTTGGTTTACAAGTCCAATAGCAATGATTTATAGGTGATATATCTATAGTGAATGGGATTATAACCCATTTATAACTAGGGGGGCACCACCTTGTAAGTGGGTGAACTAAACCCCCACAGTACCACTACTGGTTGCCAACCTCTGCGGAAAATGACATGGAAAATGACATGACTCTAGCCCTGGCCGCCATTTGAACATCAGTTACGGCTTGGTGCCACCAGTTATCCAAAGTTATCCATTTTTGGTGTTTTGGAACATGAAATTTATTTTTCCATTCAGGTGGGAATTTCATCATCCCAACTGACGAAGTCATATTTTTCAGAGGGGTAGGTATACCACCAACCAGCTATATAAGTAACTATGATCATCAATGGGATTTTGCACCATATTAAACGATACAATCACCATATATTTCGGGTAGGTCAACCACCTTTCCATGATTTTCTATGGATTTTGCATTCTCCAACCAGCCATTGATCCATTAATCTGGGTAAATTATAATATTCACTACCCTGAATAGTTCGGCAATTTTCGGATGATTCCCCTTACTAACTAACTATGATTTCCAGGCTTCGGTCGCAGTGAGGTCGTGATTAAATTTACCCAGATTGATAATTGATCATCATTTATCAGGAAAGATTGATTATTGATCACCATATATTTCGGGTAGGTCAACCACCAGGATTTTCCATTCTCCAACCAGCCATTGATCCATTGATGGAAGCTGATCAGGTGATCCTGTTGCTGATGTTGGTGCTGGTCTTAGGAACCCTCCGTGCAGTCGGAACGCTCAGATGAGGGCCACAGCGACACGGTGTCGACACGAGATTTTTTGATCTACGAGAAGCCACAGTTTTCACCTATAGCAAAATCTGATAAAATATGGCCATGTATCAATAGCTATATAGATATCTATAGATTTCTATAGATAGAATTTATGAAATTGTTAGATGAACATCCCCTTACCAGCTATATTGATGTTCACCTGGGATACAGGGTTCTGACCCATCCGCTTTTCTTCGTAAATAACCAACTCGTCCCCAACCTTGGATATGTAGTTTAGATCGACACTAATCACAACCAGCATTTTTTATGTGGAATATTAAAGATTGGCCATAAATGATATAATAATAATAGTAATAATAATAGGAATAATAATAGGAATAATAATAGGAATAATAATAGGAATAATAATAGGAATAATAATAATATTATTATTATATATATAATATATATATATATCATTTGCTGCCATAGACTATAGCCCAGTGAGGGCCGCATTGTGGAGATGTGCAACGACCCAGATTGACACAGGCATCTTTTGTTGTTTCTGCTCGTGGCAAAGCCGGTAATGAACCAGACCGCATTCTTTAAGCGGTATAGCAACTCCGAAAAGATCAGAATGGAAAGTCAGTTCTCACTATTTTGGTCGGATTTTGCGTGATTTTACGTTTCTATCTTTTTGGGGATTGCTACCATGTGGGGTCCCCTAGATAGCTAAGTTTGTTTATAAATCCCATAAAATATAGCTATATCTACCATAAGCCGTAATTATTTTGCCTAGTTATAAACCAACTTGGCTATCTTGTTATTTCACATGTACCTCTGGTTAATTGAATGTACTCTCTGGCTATTTCACAGAAGCCCCGCGTTGTATGTACCCTTTGGTTATTTTACATCACTCTGGAAACCATGGCCCATTTATAGATGATAAGCATGACGATTTATCTATGAAAACATGTGATTTTCCAGTTCGCTACATTATGCGTAACCAGAGACTATATTAACCACCGTCAAGAATCATAAATATTCATTCATACTCTGAACTTTTTTAAATAATCAAAGAAACATTAACCATCATTAATGACTGGTAAACCATATTATCATACATCATCCCATGATTATTTTAACCATTAATAACCATTATTAACCATTAATAACCATTAATAACCATCAATAACCATCAATAACCATTAATGACCATTAATAACCATTAATAAC